GACCATCACCATCTTGAGATTCTTGAGCAGGCAATGGTGTTCCGGAAGTAGACCTTCTTTGGCGTTGATAAGTTGCTACACTAGAACTTGCACCTTGATTAGCTTCATTAGTACAACCTCTCCTCGGGGCATTACGGCCTTCAAGATTGGTAGAAGCACCCATAGCTTCATCAACTGTAGTCCAGAGAAGATCTTGGCCTGGATGAACAACTTCATTACTAACCCATTCGTTATCCCACTGAAAATCCTCATAAATCAAAGGGTTAAAATCAGTTCCCTGTTCTTGGCGCTTCTGAAATCTTGTTGCAATCCTACGATTATACTTGATGAATACCAAGTCATTCAACCTCTTATGCTCCAATCGATTTCTTTTCTTGCTGTGAATCTAAATAAATTAAAAAAAATCACATGCTAGTTAATTTTTATGTTTAAAGTTTAAGGTTTTACTAGACTATCAACATTACTTAGCTTACGTGTTCAAATGTGCTCCAATTGCGTTCACATCCAGAAGAAGTGCAACATAGTCCAACGATACGCTTTGCAAGAGTTTGGAGCTCTATAGTAAAGCCACCAAATGCATCCCACCAATCAACTACAACCCATGATAAAAGCAGTTAGTGTTATAATAATAGTATTCTACATTGAAATTTAATGATGCACTTACTTGGGCTCTTTGTCTTTTGTTGGTTAATTGCAAGTTGTTTTGAAAAACTCCCTCGCAATTTGTCATATTGAGTGACCTGATCCATTATTTTTCCTTGCAAAGACTCATCAGGGATCATCTTCTCCAGCACATCATTGAACATCATTCTATGATGAGAAGCCGTTATTGCATCTTTTTTCTTAAGATCAAAATATTTCGACGGATTTAAAAATAAAGCCGCCGAATATAAATTCACTCCCATCTGGTCTTCCCACCTATTCTCAATGATCTCCATGACTTTTCTCAATTTTGTTGGCTTAGCTTGTAAAGCATGTTTGATTTTGCTTTTAGCTAGATCCATAGCCAACAAAAGTTCTGGCATAGCGGGCTTTTCATCAGCATCAACAATCCTCAACACCAACAACAATGGGTGTGTTGCCCGCAAAGAATCCTCCACCGTCACCCAAAAACTGGAAGAAAAAATAATGTCACTTACTCTTTTCCCCGCCTCTGTCGCTGATAGTCTAGATCGGCTCCAATCTTCACAAGCAAATAACATTTTCAACGCATCTTTAAATTTATGAAGACATTGCAAAGTGAGAAAAGCAGTTGCAAATCTAGTAATTCCAGGTCTCACAAGGTCTCTACCATTTGTCTTCTCCCGCATCGCATGCAAAATCTTTCCATGACGATAGATGAAAGTCGTGATACACTTAGCTCTTCCAATTGTAGACTTGAAGTCGGAAAGCTTGCCAATATCTTCCAACATAAGATCAATACAATGCGCTGCACAAGGAGTCCAAAATAATGTGGGTATTCTCTCTTGTAGTACCTTGCCCGCCGCTTTATAATTGGAGCCATTATCCGTCACAACTTGAACAACCCTATCCTTACCAATTTCTTCAATCTTCTTCTCCAATAAACCGGCTAGCAAATTGGCATCTTGGGATTCACTCGAAGCATCAACAGACTCCAAGAAAAATGTGCCCTCTGGACTGTTCACAAGAAAATTTATCAAATGACGATTTTTTGTATCCGTCCATCCATCTGACATTAGCGTACACCCATGCTCGTTCCAGGAAATTTCATGCTTTTCTTTAAGTTTTTCCGTCTCCTTTTTGGCCTTCTCAAGAAGGGGAACACGCAACTCATGAAAACTTGGCGGTTTAAGGCCTGGTCCATATTGCCCTATGGACTCGACCATAACTTCATAACTCCTTGAATTAGCCGCATTGAAAGAGATATTGTTCTCAAAAAAGAAATCAGCAATATGCATTAATACCCGTTCCCTTTCTTCCTTGCTCCTTGTTGTGCTCTCTATGGTTGATTGATAAGCTCCCTTGGTGTGCCTTTCATCCACAACTTCTTCTGGAGTCTTCCTTAGCATCGAAGCAACAGACTTGGTTTGTTTTGGTGCCTTTTCCTGTGATTCAAAAAATCTAGAAACTGACTGTTTCCTTTTTGAAGCTGTCCCAGAACTTGGATGAGAAGTGGCACTTGTAGATGACGGTGGTTCCAGATGTGTTGCTGCTTCTTCAAGGGTTTCATTGGTAGGAACTTGTAGAAGTTTGGAGTAGCGTCCGAAGGCACTTCAAAAAACGTATATACGAGAGTAGAGGGATTGTTAAAGACCGCACCAAAACCCTGTAGGCCAATGTAGAGGTATAGGTTGCCGATTCACAACAAAGTTAGAGAAATAGGGTCTTACGTAAGAAAAGGGCGTTTCATACGTAAGTTGGTTTAGATATAAGCAGTGCTCTGGCCTGAAACCATATTTCCATCCTGGGTCGTTTGATTTGGCCTTTCGTTTTGGGTCGTTTGGATCAATGACTTCATTGTTTGAGCCGATCTGTTCTGCCATGGTATTGGAGCCGATCTGACGTAAGTCGTCCTGGCTTCCGAATTCAACAAGAACGTGAGGCGACGACCGAGAAATGCCCAATTCCGCTCCAGAGAACAGCGACGATCGAGAGATTGAGAGAAGTGACGATTGGATACGATCGAGAGATTGAGAGAAGTGACGATTGGATTATTGAGGTAGGTTTGATATTTTAAAATCAATTGGGCTTGAGATAAGTTATTTTAAAAAAATAATTGGGCTGGACATCTAAAATCAATTGGGCTAGGAATTTTTTTATTATACGGCGTAAGTCGTCCAGACGTAGCGACTGGACGTCTAGGCGTCCCTGTGGCGACGACTAGGCGAGCTCCGGAAAATAAGTCGAGTCGAAGGAGCATGGCGAGAAAAAAGATCCGACTGGACGCCTAGGCGACGCCTAGGCGACGCCGTGATAACTATGCCTCCACCTCCGTTGTTACATCCTTCACCTCAATAGACACAACCTCATTGCGCATAAACTTCAATGTAGCACCTCCAACCTTGGGATTGGGGTTAGGATTCACACCAGTCTTCTTCTGACCCTTCCCCAGACCCCCGAATTCTCAAAAATCAGCCAAATTGTACAATTCCAAAGAGTATGTGATGCGGAAAAAAGAGACGATGAAGATTGTTAAAGATTTGAGGTCGATCCTGTTGGGCGAATTGAGTGTGGAGGCTCGACCAAGAAGGGCAGCCGGCCCTAGTCTTGGTTCGACCCATATGGCAGTAAATTAGGTTTTTAATTTAGCCGGCCCTAATTCTCTATGTGGGCTTGGGCCTAACTTGGGGATTAAGTTTTCAACCCTAGTTTAGTCTTCATAAATAGGGATCTCTGTACTTGTAATTCGGTGAGCACCTGGATAATAAAAACCCTAGTTGCAAAGTGGATTAGGTCAGCCAACCGAACCACTATAAATCTTGTGTTCCGTTTTCTTCGTTTTGATTTCTGTTTTGTGTGTGTTCTTGTTTGGTTATTGTGGTTTGCTATTCATAGATACCCCAACAGATCCGTGAACAAATCAACAAGAACAAGAGCCGGCAATGGAGGTCGCACTCTCTTCATGTGTGATGTGCGATTCTCCCTAGAAAATGTGCGGGTTATTATTAATCTACTTTTCACCATCATTGATTGAAGCATAGTTGTTAATGGCGAGCGCCATTTGCGCTTATGGTACCAAAGGCGCTGTGGCGAGGTCTTTCCGCCAAACCTAGAAGGGGCGAGGTGTTTTATGTTAGGCGCACCGTGGCGGTCGCCATTCACGCCTGGATTTGTGCCTAGAAGCGTGCACCATCTTCGCTCTAGGTTTGGAACAACGCAGAAGTAGGATCTTACGTCTGGGATCCTCCGCTGAAGCTTAGGATCGCTAGATCTAAGCGATCCTACGGGCTACAAGAGTGGGTAACCTAAATCCGTAACTCTTCTCTTTTTTTTTCTTTTTTTCTTTTGTTTTCTGTTTTTTAATTTACTTAATAATCTGTACTGTTACCTATTGCCCTAGATCCTACTACACACACATGTACTCCGTATTTAACTTTGTCAACTATAATATTTTGATCATTGTTATTATTAGTTTTAATAGTGATAATATTCCGCCCGCCACTCGCCATAAAAAAGGTCCTCTCGCCCGCCACTCGCCATTAATAACTATGGATTGAAGTTTTGCTGTTAAATGGTGACTCTGTAGTTCTACAGGATATGGTGAATGACATTGGTCTTAATGAGTGCTAACTCTTGCACAATAGTTTTTATCCTTTTCATTCAGATTGTTCAAAGGTTTTAGGTTTTTTTTTGGAGAGGTAGGTAATCTAAGGCCAATACAAACAGGCAGATTTGTTCATTTTGGTTGTGTATTTTTAGCTTTCAACTTTCTGTATCAATAGTCATAGTGTGATCAAATAAGCATTATATTATTTTTGTTACTCCCTCCGTCCCTGAGTATTTGTCCACTTTTGACTTTTTTGGGTCAAAATTGGTAAAACTTTGACCACAAATTAAATAAAAACGATATTAGATATAAATACAAAAAAAACTTTATTAGATTCATTTTATAAAATATTGTCAAAATTTTATTTTATCTAATTGATATACAATATATATTTTATTTAATTATTGATCAAAGATTAAAAATAGTTGACTACAAAAAGTCAAAACTGAACAATTACTTAGGGACGGAGGTAGTATGTACATATGTGTCTTGATTATTCATGTCATTCATAGTAAGACGGATATTTGTCAAACTATGTGATGATAGTGTGCTAAGATCTGCATCAAAACTCATCCATCTTTAAATGCATCACTTTATGATTTTCTTACTTGCTATTAAGCTTTATTAGTTGATCGTAATCTGTGCAGTGCTACTTGGGTTATTTAATTACATGTACTTCCTTTATTCTTTAATTTTGACTAATTTTTTATATGCACCTACTCACCTAGACTATTAAGTGGGGTATGCCTCTTTACAATATCTTATATTCCAGGGGTTTGGAGTGGACTTTGATACAGGATTCTTGCTCTATGGTCCACCGGGTTGTGGGAAAACATTGATTGCGAAGGCTGTTGCTAATGAAGCTGGAGCAAATTTCATACATGTTAAGGTTACTACTCTCTTTATTCTAGTTTCTTAAGTCTAGATTAATCAACATGTTTCATTTTTTTTCTAAGAAATTGTCCATATTTCTAGGGTCCAGAGCTTCTAAGCAAGTATGTTGGTGAAGGAGAATCTAATATCAGAACATTATTCAACCGTGCAAGGACATGTTCACCATGCATAATTTTCTTTGATGAGGTGCTTATTACTCCTTATTCCCTAAGTGCGTGTTTGGTGAGCTAAACAGATATGGGTATCCAAATCTCTGATATCAAGTTCCTAAATTTAATGTTTGGTGATTAAAAAAAGATTTCTACCCTCAACTTTGGAGATATGGAAACCCCGTCCAAGGATATCAAAAGAACAAATTCAATCGGTTTAAGAATCAGCATGAAGCACTTTGTCGCCAAGCGTACTATTCTTCTTCACCCAAGCACTAAGCATCTTGTGTATGGGTCTTATTCGTCTCCAAATTTGTTGTCTTCACCGTTTGGCTCTGCACTGGCAAAGTTGTCTGCAGGTGTCCTGATGGTGCGCTGGTGAAAATCCAACTTACTGGATCTGGTTTTGCACCGGTAGAGATGAATAAGGATTTCTTTTTTTCTTTTCACACCGTCTGATGGTTCTCTTCCGTCTATGTTGTGATCTTGTCCACCGAGAGCCAATTTTAGGGTAAAAATAACATCTTCAGTTTTATCTTCCTTCCAATCACATCTCAATTCTCGACCAGAGAAAAATGGCAAAAAGTCTCAAAGATGATTTTCATACTGACAGGTCTTTCATCGTCCTCGACCTTGTCTCTAATGGCATAGATCCAACAGACTTGGTCTTTGAATTGTTTTTTACTTACAAAACTATAAAAAGTGCTAATTTCAGTCCAGATCACAGTAGCGATAGAGATTTGGTTTATTTCAATTTTCTCCACTTTTCATTCAGATATCAGAATTCATTTCTCCAAACACCCACTTCATTAGCAATTTTTCTTTTTCCAACTACCATTTTTAATTTTACTATCTTCATACATTGTTTTCCAGGAATATGTTCTCTTACAAATTTTTTATCCTAGGAATATGGTCTACTACAGTCTCTATCCCACTATTTTTGGGACATTGGATAGTGGTACGGAAGTTAAGAAAAGAAACTGTGTGGTTGTCATTTATTTTAAAAATTAAGAATGAATGTGAACCACATAAACATGACCAAAAATAGTGGGTTAGACAGAAAAGGTAATACAGGACAAATAGGACGGAGGGAGTATGTGTTATGTATTAGAATTCTTGGCATCACATGAAAAAATTAAAAGGAGTTCTACTGCTTTGTTTTCTTAAAGGTAGGGGGGGCTTCCAACAACAAGACCAATCTAGCGTCTAATATATGGGATACTAGATTTAAATCTATAGAAATAATCTATCCTTTATACTTCCCTTTTAGAGATAAGTCTGCATCCTTATATCCTGTTCTCATAATGTGGGTGACAGATGGATCACAAAAATTCCAAGTAATGAACTTAACAAATGCCTCAATGGAAATAAATACTAGCTTTTGTTTTTTTAAGGAAGCACTCAAAATAATTGGAAATGAATCATAAACCTCCCCCCTGATCTGAGTTGAATACTAGGCATAGACTGCACCTTTTAATATGACTTTTCAACAGTGTGCTGAGGATCTGCATTTCTTGTTGATGCTCTTTAGTGTCCCAGTATTACTTGATGTGCATGTAGGTGTCTAGTAATGTATTACACAATTCTTTATTGTGGGGTATCAACATGTACTTTTCTCTTGTAATTTTATTTTAGGTGGATGCTTTGACAACTGATCGTAGTAAAGAAGGGAGTCATGTTATAGAGCGGATGTTGAACCAGGTTGTTTTGTTAGTCATGAAAGCATCTTTGTATGATTTACACCGAGACTAATATCATGCCATTTTTCTATTTGTTGCAGTTACTGATAGAGTTAGATGGTGCAGAGCAGCGGAGTGGTGTTTATGTAATTGGAGCAACAAATAGGTTCAGATCTGTGTTTTAGATGTTTGGGGTGTTTTTGCTGATAGCTGCAAGATAACTCATCCTCTTTACACTTACTATTATTATTGTACTGACAGGCCGGATGAAATAGACAGGGCTCTGCTACGACCTGGAAGGTTTGGAAAGCTTCTCTATGTCCCACTGCCAAGTCCAGAGCAGCGAGGGCTCATTTTAAAAGCTCTAGGAAGAAATAAATCTATTGATCCCAGTACAGACTTAGCTGCCTTGGGAAGAGATGACTCTTGTAACAATCTAAGTGGAGCTGACCTCTCCGATCTGGTTTGTTCATCTTTTCATGATATTTCCCGCATTTGTTATTATTTGCCCAATTTAAATGGAACTAGCTTTTATAATGAAACATCCTAATTTCCTGCTTTTAATTAATTCCTTATTTAACATTTTTTTAATTTAAAAAAAATAACAACAATAGATGTTTGAAGCTTCTATGGCTGCTGTTGATGAGAAGTTTGAGTCGGGAAACGTGAGCATGGATGGGACATCAATTTCTATTAAAGATGCTCATTTCAAATTGGCTCTAAAAAAAGTTTCTCCCTCAGTTTCAGATGAGGTATGGGAGGCTCTGCATTTATCGTTTCTTCAGTATTTCTCTCTTTTTTCCATCCCAAAAGGATCATCCCACCTAAAAATGGCATGAATTTTAAGAGTATATTAAAAAGTGTGTTGAAATATATTTATTGGGGAAATGACTATTTGACTAAAGGAAAATTCTTCTGTGGACCCATGGTAGTCAAAATCGCGACGTACGATTCTACGAGTCCAGGGATCACCAGCAACTTTCCGATCTAACTCGCCTCCAGAATCGCGATGGTCAATAGGGTCGGGCGGATCGTCTATCCGGATCGTGAAATCGTACGATCGCAATAGATCGGCGATTTAACGCAGTGTCGCTTCAAAATCCCAATCTAATCGCAACTTTGAATTTTGGAAATTTGAATCTGAACCGTCTGTCGCGACTCCCAAAGACCAAAACTCAGCTTCCCCAATTCCAGTCGCGACTCCCTTCCAATTCCAGGCTATTATTTATCTGCTTTTATTTACCCTTATTTATTTGCAATATTTATCTGCCGATCATTTATCTCTGCTTCTAGCCTTCCCTTTCTGCTTCGGTGCTTCCTTCTGCTTCTACTCGAAGCCTTCTCTTTTCAATTAGACAATTACAATGCCAATTCAGGATTATAATTTTAGCATTGATAATTATGTTTTAGATGTTTTAGATGTTTAAGGATAAAGTTTTAAGTCATTTGTGATCCAACTTGAACTTGTGTTATGTTTTATTAAAATTTAATTAAAACATACATATATATATATATATATATGTATGTATGTATGTATGTATGTATGTATGTATGTATGTATGTATGTATGTATGTATGTATGTATAAGTGTGTGTGTGTATGTCTATATATGTCTATATATATATATATATATATATATATATATATATATATATATATATACTCCCTTCGTCCAAAATTAAAGTTCCCATTTTGACTTGGCACGGAGTTCAATAAAACTTAAAATTTGCTTTGACTTTTCCAAAATACCCTCCCTTACCCCACTAACCCACCTCTGCCACCCATACTCCCGTTCAACCACTCTCCCCTCTCCCATTATTCCAGAAGACCAAAACAAGCCAGAAAACCAGAATAGCTATTCCCGCACCAAAGTAAATAAACCGAAGATGACTTGAAGAAGAAGAAGAACTTTCATTGATGCTGACTTGCTTCATAGATCTAAATCAAACCCAGATCTGAAGCGAATTGCTTAGATCTGACGGAGATTTGAATGATCTGGTGACCAAATCTGAAAGATGGAGGAAGAAAAGAAAGAAGAACAAGAGAAGTAAAAAAGAAAGAAAAAATCCGTCGGGTGAACAAAGTAAAAGGGGGGACGGAAGAATAAAATAAAGAGGAAGAAAAAGAAAAGTAGAACAATAAAAAAATAGAGAAGAAGAAGAAGAGAAGAAAGAATTGGATGGTTCTAGAGAGAAGAAAAAAAGAGAGAAGAAAAAGAAGGGAAGGAAGAAGAAGGCGCTGGAGAGAAGAAAAAAGAAGAGAAAAAGAATGCAAGGAAGAAGAAAAGGAAATTGGGGAAGGGTGGCTGCGATTCTGCGAAAGGGGAAAGAAAGAGGAGAAAAAGATAAAGTGATATGTAGTGGGGGTATTTCTGTCATTTTAACAAGAGATAAAGTGATATGTAGTGGGGGTATTTCTGTCATTTTAACAAGAAAAAGTTTCCTAAATAAGAAATGGGAACATTAATTGTGGACGTCCTGAAAAGGAAAGTGAGAACTTTAATTTCGGACAGAGGGAGTGTGTGTGTGTGTGTGTATATATATATATATATATATATATAGGGATTGACTCCAGTAAGATGACACCTTATGGTAAGATGACATGCTTCAATCAGATGACACAACACACACAACACTACCAATGGAAAGCTCACCAACTGCCAATACAAAGCTCACCTACCGCCAATGGAAAGCTCACCAAGGAACAATGCAAAGCTCACCACTTTTTTTTAAATAAAAAGAATTAAAAAAAAATAGCACTACCATTCAACCACCAGTCAATCACCGCTCAACCACCGGTCCACGACGACAGTGGGGGTCATCGGTGGTGGCCATTGGTCATGGGCGGTCAAAGTATAAAGCTCACCAACTGTCAATGGAAAGCTCACCTAGGAACAATGCAAAGCTCACCATTTTTTTTAAAAAAAAAGCTAATAAAATTGCACCACTAGTCAACCACTGGTCCACGGCGGTAGTCGGCAGCGGTTGGAAGTCAGTACCACCACTTTTTGTTTTTTTTTAAAATCATTTTAAACTTTAAAGTGTGGTGAGCTTTATGCACATATTCGGTGAGCTTTGCAATGAGAGTCAGTGAGCTTTATTGCTGGGCTTTGTGAGCATTTAACCATCAAATTTTGAAAAAAAAAAGTTAAGTGTTGGAAAATCATGGTGAGCTTTGCAGTGGACAGTGGTGAGTTTTGCAGTCATCAGTGGTGAGCTTTGCAGTGATCATTGGTGAGCTCCAGCGTCATCTCACTGAAACATGTCATCTTACCACAAGGTGTCATCTCACTGGAGTAACCGTCATTTTCACAAACGAGGCACCGTAGGTATCACAAACAAACTGGTGTAAGCAACTGGTGTCATTTTAGATGCTCCCTATATATATATATATATATATATATATATATATATATATATATATATATATATATATATATATATATATATATATATATAGTAGGATCTTACGATCCGAGTCACGATCTTACGATGTTACGATCTTCATTATGCTTATCAATCCTATGTAGAATCTAGAGTTTGACTACCATGCGTGGACCTAAGTGCATTTGTATGATTAAAGAAGTGGGCTTATTGCAAAAAAGAAAATATCCACATGCAACCCCATGAAAAATTTGAGGTATACATTTTAAATGTGGACCTCGGGACCATGTAAGCATCACATATTGATAAGATGTGGGCAGTTGAGGGGTGTAAGTGTCTTCCCAATGGCTTTAAATTTCCAATAAGATTGAGGGAAAGGTGATTTTGGGACATCCTTAAACATGGTTTTGAAAGATGATATTGGGACGGAGTGACGGAGGGTGTACTTATTATTAACAAATATCTTTTCTTGTTTTGGTATACAGCAAATAGAGTATTATGAGAATTTGTCTAAAAAGTTTAAAGCAGCAGCATGACAGCAGATATGTTTGTCTCTCTCTGGCTTCTTCACAATGGTATGTATTCAGAACTGTGGGTGTAATGTTTGAAATACTCATAAGGGGAAGGTTCAAATGACATTGAACCTTAATGTCATAGGATGACCCGGGGCCGCTCCGGTACCCCGTTCGTAAAATTGACGGTTCCTACCCCCCCTAACCCCACCGGTAAACCCCCCACCCCGGCCCCGACCCAAACACACCCCCCCACCCCCTTCAATTGCACCCCACAAGTTGATTTTGACTTTGGAGTCAAAATTTGACTCCAAAGTCAAAATCAACTTGTGGGGTGCAATTGAAGGGGGTGGGGGGGTGTGTTCGGGTCGGGGCCGGGGTGGGGGGTTTACCGGGGGGGTA